GGAAAAGAGGAACCGAAAGCAGAAACAGAAGGCAAACTAGAAGAAAAGCTCTAACGGTGAACTGTCATCCGCATGTGGATGGGCTCCTCTCACGGCCGCCAGGACACGGTCCTCAAGGCAGTGGTCCAGCCTGCTCTCCACACGAGGCAGTGGGTGATGAGGCCGGCTGGGCTCCAGGGGCCCCTTGGTCTTTAAGAGCCTGGCAGTGCACTTGGCAGGGAAGCCTGAGGGAGGCGGGCAGCGGCCTTGCTCTGGACTCCTTGTAGGCTGAGACCCTGGAGGTTTGGAGGGCGGAGGGGAGAGCGTGCTCTATCATGCCAACCGGGGCAGCCTCTGGAGGAAATGGGGTAGGTCTGGGTGGGTAGGGCTCTGAGGATCGGCTGAAGGGTCCCCTCCGGAGTCCTGAGAATCAGGTGAAGAAGTCGAATATCGCTCTGTGCCGAGTGCCTGTGGCCAGCGGAGGGAGGCATGCACTTCAGAAGAGCAATCTGGGAGCGTTAGGCGTTCGTTGACTCGGGGAGGAGGCATGTTCTGAAGGGTCTCAAAGGACACAGGGCTGGCTCCCATGGGTCCCTGGCGTGGCTCAGGAGTCCCAGTTCTTGCCAAATGAGCTGGCCAAACCACAGGCACATGACTCGGCTCTTCTGTGGCCAGGCTGAACTCTGCCGGGGCCAAACAGGCTCCTCGGGCGGGCCTCTCCGAGAATCTTCCACAGAGCCTAGGGATGACTCTGGAGTCTTCGAGGAGTCCCCACTTTCTTCAGCCCCGCGGCACCCACCGGAGACGAGTGGGGTCTGGAAGGTTTGCTCCATCCTTGAAGGGCTTAGATCAGAAGAAAGACCCACCAGAAACACAGGCTGCAGGTCAAAGGCACCGCCTCTCCCGTCTCCCCGCCCCACCAAGCACCTGGCCCAATTGCTATTCCTTGATCAACAAATCTCATTGAGCACTCAGCTTTCCAAAAGAGGCTCCTACATCTTCCGGAAAAGGGCTCTGGATGCCTCCAGTGTTGGCCATGTGTTACAAGAGCAAAGTTATAGCAGTCATAAATGCCTGTACATAATTAAAATGTTAAAATGACGCTCTAACCCCTGCGAGACAGCACATGTTTACAACATGCACGAGTTTCAGAAAGGGGAGAGATTTCAGGTGTTTCCATCATACATGAAATGATCATTCTATCTAAGTAAGTTTGACAAAATAGATGAGCTATAACCTCTTACATGATTCAATGAACGACTCCCCCATCATTTGAATGGATGAGGGCACCGGTACTCTCATGCAGGTGGGCCAGGGCTTTGGCTCCCGGAGCGTGTTATTCATCTTTGTGCTCTTCC